ATAATGTTTTGGTTGGTCATTTTTGTTTGTTTGCCAGTTCATTAGACGACTTAGACTTTTAATAACTACATAATGATTATTATTATTGATTTCAATTTTCAAAAGGTTTATTTGATGTTTAGCATCTCTTGTTTTAGTTCTGTAATCAATTATAATTTTCTTTTCATTCAAAGTATCATCAATTTCATAAACATTGATTGAAACTAACTTACTATTATTTTCTTCAAACCTTTCAATATCTTTATTACCAGTTGGAAATTTAACACCTTCCCAGTTTAAGATATTGTCATTTAATTTGTTGTAATGAAAAGTATGTTCTGGGTGACTTTTACTAATCTTATCAAATACTACTGATTGAATACAATATTTGAAACATTTATTATCTCTATTTTGAATATTGATACATGCTTTCTTATGTTTAATCCAATCTGGTAAGTCAATATAACTACCTGCCCTAGTAGGGTCATATTTGTCATAATGTAATGTGATTGATAATATCTTTATAAATTTTAAATTAGATGCTGAACCTTCTAACTTTTCTATGTTCAATAAAATCTCTTTGATTGATTTTTCAATTGCTTCATCCAAATCGGTTTCATTATATATGTTTGACCTTGTAGCAGGTAAATTATAAAGTATCTCTGTATGTTTTATTACTCCATCATCATCATAATAATGATAAAATAAACCTTCTGCCCTTATATTCAGTTTCATAGCTCTATTAGTTTTCAAAAAGGTTAAAAGTCTATCTTTTTGGTAGTGTATCATTGATAGTGCCTTTTCACCTTGAAAATGTTTATTTACTAGTTTTATAGAATTAGCATAACTTTTGAATGCTGATTGTTGGTCTGTTATTCTGAATTTGTTTTTTATAGCGTATTTTGTCATGGCATTTTTCAATCTTTGTTTAAGGTATGTTGAGCGAATTGTTTTTGTAGCATGACTATTATATTCATTGGTGTTTGCTACTGATTTTAATTTCTTGTTCAAAACATTCGAGATAGGTTTTTCTTTGTTGTATCTAAATTTCCTACCATCTACAATTATTGATTTTAATTCCTTGTTTCCTCTTTTTGGTATTTCCGCTTTGTCATTATTTAGTAGATAATCTATAACATGTTTCATAATACTATACTATATAATTTAATATATGTTTATTTCTTTAAGTTAATTTAATATATGAATACTTAAAGACATATTATTATATATAAATAACTATGTTTTCAGAACTTGAGGCGATAAAAGAAACACCGCATTTCCTTGTTCTTGACTTTGTTTGTGACAATTATTTAATATCATTTAATGAAAGTAATGTTGTTTATAAACAGGGAATGTATGCTAGATATAAAAAGTGGTGTAGTAAGAATAACAGAGCATGTATAACCTTTGATAAGTTTGATGAAGAGATAATGAAGAATAATGAAGTTAAATGTTTTACTCATTTTGGGAAAGATTATTATACAAATCTTATTTATGACCCAGAATAAGCATACATATTTATAACATTTATTTGGTTAAATGTTATAATTATTTTATACTTAAAATCTACTTAAAGAAATAATGCCTTAATATATTAAGAGGAAAATGCCAATGATAGGAGTGACAGAAAAAGAGCTGGAACAGGATAGAAAGATAATATTGAGTTTCATTAAGGATAATCCCTATCCATCGTATAAACAAGTCATTGAAATAATTAAAAACGATAAAACAATGGAAGATATATATCTAGATATGTTCGCCGAGTATGGAGAACAAAATCATCAATGGATAAAAGAGATTTACGAAAACATAATGAAAGAAGAACTCGTTAAACATAATGGTAATAGTATTAATGAAAGAGGAGGAATGACAACAATGCATTGTAATTATTATACTTTGATATCAGTGTTGCGTTATTTAATACAACAAAGAGCACCAATGAAAGATTATGACGTTAACTTAATCTGGTATAATATCAGAACCATCTTAAGCAGTTCTTGGAACAACATAGGAGACTGGAAACACTGAAAATAGGTTTATTCATATTATCTATAATCATACTATAATAATAACATGTAAAATCTTATATGTTATAATTATACTGTACTTATAGTTTGTAAAGATTGAAATATTTCATTTTTCCTTGATTTGGCTGACTCTTTCAAAGTGCGTTGTTTGAACTTGGTATGCTCTTTTGATTTTTTCGCGCTTTGGCTGTTTGTATTTTATTTTGTTTGATACTCTTCTGATATTTTTTGTTGGTATGTTGCTTTGTTTTTTTTGATGTGTGTTTTTGAGTTTGTGTTCTTTGATGGTTTTTATTTTTGCTGTTTTGTTGGTATGCTTGTTTGAATTATTTAATGTTTTATGCTTTGATTAAATATTTTGTTGGGGGTTGTTCTGGTTTTTGAGTTGCTTGGTGGTTCTTATCTTGTTTTCTGTGAATTTTGCTGATTTTGTTGTATGCTGTTTGATTTTTTGGTTTTATTCTTTGAAGTGCCGTTTTATGTATTTTTTGGGGGAGGGGGGGGTCCACAGCCTGGAACATATATATGGTACCCCCCCCCCCCGCCAAGCCAAAAAAGCTCAAACAGAGGTCTTCTGGAAGAGGAAAAACCAAGGTCTTATGGAAAAGGAAAATCAAAATCTTCTGGAAGAAGGGCCCCAAACCAGAAAAACAAGAAAATGAAGAAAAACAAACAGGGTCCTCATGAAGACGGGCAGAAAACGTGGAATGTCCAAAATGTAAAAAATATTTAACAAAATACACTTTCAAATATCGCCATAACTGTAATGGAATACCAGTTAAAAAAGAACCAGACCCTAACAAAGTTGTTTGCATCCACAGCAAGCAGAAGAGTTTAAAGATGATGTCTGTAATAGAGTGAAGGATAATTTACCAAAAGTTGATGAACAAGAAATAGAAAGAAGAGTTGAAGAAAGGTTAAAACAACATATAGAAAGCACAGCAAATAAAGTGTTTGAAACTGCAAAAGACCGTTACAATAATATTAAAATGGAACGAGATAATAAAAATAAACAGAAAATTAGTAATTTAGCAAATAAAATTATTTAATCTAATTATTATTATATAATGATTATTGATAAAAAACAATTGCTTATGCACCGTAGAGAAATTTATGACAACGTTGTAAATAGAATAACAGAACCACAAAATAAAGACAAACCGAATATCAGTGATGTTATTGATAGAAAAGCAGTTTTTGAAACAAACAAACCAAAAAAGAAGAAGAAATATAAATCAACTCAACATTACTATTATGAAGATTTTTTGGTTTTATTCTTTGAAGTGCCGTTTTATGTATTTTTTGGGGGAGGGGGGGGTCCACAGCCTGGAACATATATATGGTACCCCCCCCCCCCGCCAAGCCAAAAAAGCTCAAACAGAGGTCTTCTGGAAGAGGAAAAACCAAGGTCTTATGGAAAAGGAAAATCAAAATCTTCTGGAAGAAGGGCCCCAAACCAGAAAAACAAGAAAATGAAGAAAAACAAACAGGGTCCTCATGAAGACGGGCAGAAAACCAGCAAGAAACCAGGGTCCTCCAGAAGAAGGGTGACCTCCATAATTTGTCTCCTAGACCTTGGTTGTTTGGTTTTTCTGGTTTTGCTGGTTTTCTGCCCTTCTTCATGAGGACCCTGATTTTTTGGTTCTTCCGGTTGCTCTGTTTTTTCTCGTTTGGGGCCCTTCTTCATGAGGACCCTACTTCTGGTTTTTTGTCTGGTTTTTTGTCTGGCAAAAGCCAACACTTCTCCTTTGGGTTGTTTTTTTGGTTTCCCGAATTGTTTTTTGGTTTTGTTTGGTTTTCCCACGATTTTCTTAAAAACCAGGGTCTTCTGGAAGAGGAAAGGACCAAGCTCCTTTGGAAGAAGGGCCCCAAACCAGAAAAACCAGAAGAACCCAAAACCAGGGTCCTCATGGGGAAGGAAGGGCCAGAAAAAAGCACAACAAAAAGAAGGAGAAAAAACCACAGGGTCCTCCAGAAGAAGGGTGCCCTCCATCATCTGTCTCCTAGACCTTTTCTTTTTTTTTTGGCTTTTCTGTTTTTTGTTTCTGCTTGCTGGCCCTTCTTCATGAGGACCCTGGTTTGTTGGTTTTTCTGTTTTTCGTTTTTTTCTGTTTCGGGGCCCTCGGGATAGAGCTGAACAACCCAACGAAACTCAGGGAAAACCAAACAACAGAACGCTCTTTATGAGGGTCATTGCAAAAATGCACAATGTTTAAAGGAAGAAAGCCTATTAGGATTTCTATGTCGAATTAGAATGGAAAGGAGAAGTCCTTTCAAAATGTGCTGTGAAACATCATGTAGCAGAACGTGCATAGAATTTAATAAGGCACGAGTTCCAGTAGACTTCTATCGTCCGTTAGGAACTAAGAAAAACGCCCTGTCCATGAATAGAACTTAGTTAGGGCACAGCTCAAATATATTTGTGCTGTATCAATTAGAATTTAGATTTACATCCCTGTTAAATAACAACATCTAATTAGAGTTGTAATAGAACTGAAGAACAAAACATGTGCAGTTGAATACTCTAGTTGAGGATTAAAGTAGGAAGCGCTTTCCAAATCGGACTTTAATCAAAGACAATTGCCATGTAAATGGAATTTCAATGCCTATGTTGATTGCTAATTTAAGAAGGAAATCCTTTCGAAGCAGGATTTTAATCAAAGTCAATTGTAGTTTGACAAGCACGTGGAAAGGTAATGCACAGTAGTGGGGCAGGCTTGAAAAGGTGGAAGATGGCAAATGAGCAGATGTGCAAAGCTACTGGATGGTAGATTTTGAATACATTTGCAAAAATGGAAGATGTGCAAAGGAATGAAAGTGTAACATGGGTGGGTGTGAGCATATATATAGCAAGTGCGTGGGTCCTGGGTATATTTTTTACATATACATACATATGTTGTTTCGTAAATAGATGTGGGCTTGTTGCAGACTTGCTATGTATATACGCATGTTCTCAACTTGGGTGGTTGGGAGGGGGTCGCGCCCGATGCGAAGGCATTGGTACCGCAAAGTGGCCTTTGCCTTCCTGCGACCAGCGGTACCAGGACCGCGACGCCTGGGATCGGGACGCCGATCTGCTTCTCCATGGGCATCGGGGGGTTGATCAGTATTCCAGAAAAGAGTCCCAAAAATCGGTAATTGTTCCTTTTTGAACTATCATCTTTTCTGGTAGGGACCTTTTGAGCAACCCCTATATATTGACCTCGCTTTGAAACCAGGGAAGCCATTTGTTTGTTGGTGTTTGCAGCGGAATCATCATTCCAGGCCTTCTTAGGTGGTGCAGGATTCCGTCCATACACAGCAGTGGGGGTGTTCTTCACAACCATAGGAAGTTGGGTGAGAGTGGATGGCTGTAGACCCTGGGCCTAGCGAATTGTGGCAACTTTCACAGTTGAGTGGTTGCCCGAATTCTGTGCCATCCCACTTGGCGTGAAAAAGCCATAGCTGTGTACGTCAAAATAGGGATCAAAGCCCAACAAGGGTACCTCCGCAAAACACACCCACATGTTGGAAAGCCCAAGTTGGATTGTGGCGACCTCACAGGTTTGGGGGGCGAGACTGGCCATGATGAAGGCCCTTTAGATTGAATTGGCGAGGAGCGCCGGAGCTTCTGGGTTTCATGTTCCTACCATCAGGTGAGTTCGACTACTTCAAATGTTCGGTTCTTCGCAGCCTGGGCATTTGAATCTGCCTAGCCCAAGTTGCGGAATTGCAGACATGTTGCACTTTGACTGAAGCCATCTGACCCAAGAGGAAAGGGAAGAAATAGGGCCGCGCTGCATGGTAGCGGAGCCCTTGGACAAGTCCAGGGGCAGACGCCGGGTCATCGGCCAGAGGCGAGACCGTCAGCCTGCGCCGGGCCGGGGTGAGCCGGAGGAGAAAGGCCGGCAGGCTGGTGGCAGGGCCCTGGTCCTGGGTGGCCGAGCGACTGGAGGTCGCTGGAGGAGGTGGATCACCGCGGTGGTCCTGGTGCTGGCCTACAGCGTGGACCTGCACCTGGTGATCATCGGCTGCCTCGATGACTACGGCGGAGGAGGTGATGAGAGTTCTGCAGCAGGTGCAACAGCAGCTGGTCCAGGTCCAGCAGGAGAACGCACAGCTGCAGGCGAGGCTGCAGGCCACTGAGCAGGGCCTGGCGAGTGGCTCTGGAGGCATGGAGACGGAGGTGCTCAGGGCACTGCAGAGCTTGCCGGATGCCCTGGCGAAGCTCGGCAAGAAGGAGCGTGGAGGCCTGGTGGACCAGAGAGGGTTGGGGAAACCCTACACGCTGGGAGAAGATGCCGAGGAGAAGTTCCGGGTTTGGGCATCGAAGCTGGAGGACTATGTCACGGGGGTCTTCAGCGGCAAGAGCCGGGAGGTTCTGGAGTGGGCGGCAGGCTCTGAGGGCAACATCGTGGCCGAGGAGATCGACAAGGCCTATGGCACGGGCGCTGATCTCATAGATCAATGGGATGAGGTGCTGGAGTTCAACGAGCAGCTCTACACCGTGCTGAGAGCCACGACCGAGGGCGTGGTCTTCGACCTGGTGGAGAATGCCCCTCGGGGCAATGGGCTGGAGGCCTGGAGGATGCTCCACAAGAAGTATGATCCGGCCACGGGAGGCCGGAAGAGGATCATGCTCCAAGCCCTCACGAACCCCGACAGAGCGGGGTACGAGTCACTGAGCAACGCCCTAGAGAGATGGAAGTCTTTGAGAGGCCGCTACAATAAAAAGAAAGACCAATTCGGGAGGCGTGAGGACCTGCCCGACAGCCTCGCCATGAATGCATTAGAAAAATTAGTTCCTCGGGAGCTGGAGACGCACCTCTTGCTCAACCACAGCCGCTTCAAGACCTTCGAGGAGATGGAGGCGGAGGTGGTCACGTTCATGGAGGCCAAGACGGGGAGCAAGATGACGGTGTCGGGCAACTTCAGCAAAGCCGCCGCGAATGAGGCGGTGCCCATGGACGTGGATTCATTGGTCAAGGCGGTGTCAGGGAGCCTGTCATCGCTGGTGAAGGGCAAGGGCAAAGGCGCCGGAAAGGCTCAGCGCTTCGAGGGCAAGTGCGACAACTGCGGCAAGGTGGGGCACAAGAAGAAGGACTGCTGGTCGAAGCCGCAGAGCATGGGCCGAGGAAAAGGGGCTTCAACACGTCCGATGGGGCCCAGCCAGAACAAGAAGTTTGACGGCAAATGCAACAACTGCGGACGGACCGGCCACATGAAGAAGGACTGTTGGGCGGCTGGTGGAGGAGCTGCTGGAGGGAAGTCCAAAGGGAAGCAGAAAGGAAAGAAGAAAGATGCCGCAGCCCTGGAGGAGGAGCCGGAAGGAGAGGCGAATGGCCTGGAGCTGTGTGCCCTGTCCAACACGAGCTCTACGGCACGACCATGGGCGGTGTCTCCACTGGCCAAGAACATGAGGGCCAAGAGAGAGGCGGCTGGGATCAGCCAGAAGTGGCTCAAGTGCAACCTGGACACTGGCGCCTCGGTCACGGCCTTTCCCAAGAGGTACAGCGAGAAGCTGCTGGAGAGGGAGAACTACTTCAAGACGGCCTCGGGGGAGTTGATCAAGAACTATGGGCCGGTGAAGGTCTCAGGGTACGATGCCGGAGGAGTCAAACGGGTGCTGAACGGGCAGGCCACGGATGTCCACAAGGTGCTGATCAGCGCAGGTCGGCTACATCAGAAAGGGTACAGCACCTGGATGACCTCCGGAGGAGGAACGATCATCCCGAAGACGCACCCGGTCCATGAGCAGATGGAGGAGTTGATGGAGTGGGCCCTCAAGGAACATGACAAGGGGCTTATTCCCCTGGTGGAGGAGAACGGGATCTACAACTTCTACCTGGAGTTGGAAGAGAAGGAGGAAGTGACTGAGATGGTGGAGGTAGCCATGCTGGAGTCTTCGTCGCCGGAGGCCGCATCGAGCGCCGAGGATCCAATGCCGGCCGCATCAGGCTTGGGAGCCAGACCTAAGGCCATGGCAAAGGAGGAGGATAAAGATGAGGAGGAAGAAGACGACATCCCGCCATGGCGGAAGGAGTATGGTTGGAAGAAGAAGAGCGAGACGGTATGGGCGCTGGAGGATGAGGCTCCGGTAAGACCTGGAGGAGGTGGCGCCGGAGAAGCGCTTGAGGAGTCAGTGGAGGCCAGAGCGGTGAATCCGGGCTGGAGTCCAGCCAATCCGTCTGCTCGTGAGAGAAAGGAGCATGAGGCGACCGGGCACGCGGTCTACAGGAGCTGGTGCGAAGAATGTATCAAAGCAAGAGGAGTGGTCCAAGTTCATCGGAAAGTGGATCATGGAGAAGATCGGCTGCCTACGGTGTGTTTGGACTACTTCTACATGAGTGAGGAGGAGGGAGCCAAGCCGAACCTGGTGGCGGTCGATCGGGACACGGGCATGGTGATGGCCACAGCGATCAACCAGAAAGGAGTGGTGGACTTGACGGCGCAGAAGGCGTTGACGAGGTTCCTGGAGATACTAGGCTACAGGGAGGTGGTCCTGAAATCGGATGGTGAAAGATCGCTGGTGAAGATGAAGATGGAGGCGGCAAAGCAGGCACGAGGAGTTTCCAGAGCGGTGCCGGAGGAATCGCCGCAAGGGGATGCAAGAGCCAATGGGCAAGCAGAGGTGGCCGTCAAGGAGGTCAAGTGGCGAATCAGGGCCATCCTTCTCACGCTGGCCAAGAAGTTTGAGGGTGGAGTACCTCAGGGACATCCGCTGACGTACTGGGCACCCAGGTACGCGGCCGAGCAGATCAATCGGTTCAAGGTCGGCGAGGACGGAAGGACCCCGGACGAGAGAAGGACCGGAAAGAAGTGGGTGAAGCCGATGCCGCTCTTCGGCGAGAAGATCCTGGTCAAGCCAGCTGGAAAAGGGCGGCGAGGAGACCTGGAGAAGATGAAGGCGGGTCGGTACTTGGGGACCCACAACAGGTTTGGGTCGGTGCTGGCAATGACCGATCAGGGGGTCATCGTAGGTACTGGACATCATGCCTTACCTGCAGAAGAGAAGTGGGGCAAGGTAGAAGAAGGGATGAGAGGAGTCCCCTGGGACGTGAAGAAGTACGTTGAGCTGGAGCCGCAGCCAAAGCCACAGCAAGAGCAACTGCCAGCGCCGCCGGTCGTGATCATTGGGGGTAGTCCCGGACCTGGAGGAGAGGTGCGGGCAGCTCGGGCGGAGGAGGCCCTAGAGCAGCCTCCAGAATCGCGACCCGCCGCGGCAGGTGAGGAGACCCCAGCCCCAGGCACGCCAGGAAGAGGCAAGGCCTGGCCTGTGAGAAGGGAGATGTTGAACAAGTACGGAAAGACGCCTGGGTGTGGCGGGTGCATCTCCATTATTGGAGGCACCCAGCAGGTTGGGCATTCAGAGGAGTGCCGGTTGAGGATCCTGAAGAGGATCAAGGATGATGACGAGGCGGACCAGGAGAAGAGAAGGAAGCAACGCCTAGAGGATGAGGCAGAAGAGAAGAGAAGGTCACAGAAGAGGGCCGCATCTAAGGAGGCAAGAGATGAGCGGGAACAGCCCGCGGCACTGGAGGAGCCTGGTTCGAGTAGAGACGGGCAGACCTCGCCAAAGAGGAAGGGCGGATCCGTGGATATTGAGGATCTGCTCAAGGAGGTAGAAGAGGAAGATGCGGGCCCTGGAGGCGCAGTGAGAGACGCAGCGATCAACATGCTGGCTGAGGAGGTTGGCAGCCGCGGTGCAGCGGAGTTGGTTGCGGACATCGGGGCGTTGGATGTGGTGGAGATATTCTCACCCAAGAGGGTGACGCTGGAACTGCAGCGATTTGGTTTGCGAGATGGAGTGGCGGTGGATTTGGATGAGATGAAGCCGTGTGGAACGGCGAGATGGGACATGGACAAGGAGGCGGACTTCAAGAAGGTCTGCAACATGATCAAGGAGGAGAAACCGCTGCTGTTAACGAGCTCTCCCCCCTGCACAACCTTCAGCCCGTTGCGGAGGATCACGAATCCGAAGAGGGACGCAGACGTGGTTGCCGGAGAGGAGAAGCTAGGGAGAGAGAGGCTGCAGAAAGCGATGAGGTGCTGCAAGCAGCAGGCTGAGCAGGGAGGCATCTTCCTGCACGAGCACCCGAAAGGGGCATCCAGTTGGGAGGAACCGGAGGTGGAAGAGATGGTGAAGAAAGAAGGTTCTTTCCTGGTGCAGAGCCCGATGTGCCGCTTCGGCATGAAGATGAGGGACGATCATGGTGAGGAGTTGCATGTGAGAAAGGAGACGCTGTGGCTGACCAACAGCGAATGCATTGCGGAGGAGCTCAGGGGTGTGTGTGAGAACGTGCTACAAGGGCGAGAAGTCCATCGGCATGTTCACCTCATCGGCAAGGATCGTGCGAAGGCAGCCCAAGTCTACCCGGTGGAGCTGGTGGAGGCCATCCTGAGAGGCCTGCGGAGTGAGATGAGGAAACGAGGACAGATCAATAGCGTGGAGGAGATGCTGACGGGAGCCTCGCCGGACGATTGGGTGGACCAGGAGAAGGAGAACCAAGAGGTGGACGAGCTGTTCATGGACGACTCGTCGGGGACGGTTCTGCCAGCCGAGCTTGTGAGAAAGGCGAGAGCTGAGGAGTTGGACTGGCTTCAAAAGGAGGCGGTCTACGAAAGAGTTCCGAGGAAGCTCTGCGAGCAGAGCGAGCAGAGGAAGCCACTTCAACTGAAGTGGTTAGATGTGAATAAAGGAGATGAGGAGAATCCGAAGGTGAGGAGTCGGCTGGTGACGAAGGAGATCAAGAAGGCGAAGAGGCCAGATCAACAACTAGGCGCGGAAGACACCTTCGCCGCAACGCCGCCTGTAGAATGCGTCATGATGATCTTGAGCCTGTTCATGTCGCAGAAGGGCATCAAGAAGAAGAGGAAGCTGGCGGTGTGGGACATCTCCCGGGCGCACTTCATGGGCAAGGCAGAACGGGAACTGTTTGTGGAGCTCCCGCAGGAAGACTTGGTGCACCCGGAGGATGAGGAGGCGATGGTGGGGAGACTCCTGCGGAGCATGTATGGCACGCAGGACGCGAGCAAGATCTTCCAGATGGACTACCAAGGTCTCATGGAGAAGGAGAAGGGCGAGTTCAGCAAGCTGTGCCCTGCGCTGTTCAAGTTTCAGGAGCGAGGCATCATCGGGCTGGTGCACGGAGACGATTTTCTGGTACTCGCGGAGGACGACCAGCTGACCTGGATGGATGGCGTCCTCAACAGCAAGTACAAGGCCCGGTGGGAGGCGACAGTCGGAGACGGGGAGCTGGACGGCAAGGAGATGTTCTTTCTCAATCGGCTCATCAGGTACGTGGCAGATGGAACGGATGGAAAACGCTTGGAGGTGGAAGCGGATGCGCGGCACGCGGAGATCCTGATGAGGTCGTTTGGGTTCGACTCCAAGACCAAGGGCAGCGACATCCCGGAGGATAAGATTCGGGATCAGGACATCATTGTCGAAGAGCGCTCCGAGACGTTGGACGAGGCCCAGACCGGTGAGTTCAGGTCTATGACTATGAGGCTGGCTTATCTGAGCCAGGACAGGCCGGATGTGATTCACGCCTCGAGGACGTTGGCGTCGGCCATGAAGAGCCCGAAGATGGGTGATTGGCTTCGGCTCAAGAAGGTGGTGCGGTACCTGCTGAAGTACCCGTATATGAAGAGGACCTTCTTGGAGCAGAGGCCTGAGGAGGTGGACGTGCTGGCCTGGTCTGATTCGGATTGGGCCGGAGACCTGAGGACGAGGAGGAGTACCACGGGATCGGTGGTGAAGATTGGTCACCACACGGTGCTGATCAGAGCCGCGGGACAGAAGGTGGTGGCGCTGAGCTCTGCCGAGAGTGAGTTCTACGGCATGTGCAGGACAACAACGCACGCGGAGTTCATCCGCGGGGTCATCAACTTCTGGGGCTACGCGGTGACGAGAGTCATGCTGAAGGTGGACAGCACGGCGGCTCGGGCAATGAGCCTTCGGAAGGGTGTGGGCAAGACGCGCCACATCCAGGCGAGGTTTCTTTGGCTGCAGGACAAGGTCTTCGCCAAGGAGGTCGCGGTGGTGAAGGTTGATGGGAAGGAGAATGAGGCGGACCTGGTGACGAAGGTCCAGCCGGCCACGATGATCAAGGGTCACCTTGGTCGGATGTGTTTTGAGCTTTGTGGCCGAAAAGGCCATAAGGCATTGCAGCGGTAGCTCCTCAAAGGGGCTACCGACCTTTTCGTCGCTCAGGGGGTGCAGACATGTTGCACTTTGACTGAAGCCATCTGACCCAAGAGGAAAGGGAAGAAATAGGGCCGCGCTGCAGGAATGTTTTGTTTCAGTCGCTGTTGCTGGTGTGTTGGGCTAAAGTGGATGGAACAGAAGCTGGCAACTGGCGAAGGTGGGTGAAAACAAACTCGCTACACCCGTAGAGCTGCAGGGATCGAATGAAATCGTCAGGCGAGGAAATCCGGACCATGGTTGATGGGAACGAGGAGACCAAGAAGATTGCACAGGCTGGCGACTATGTCGTGCCCCTCGGCGACATTGGCCATTCAATGCCCAATGTCCCTTGTGAGTGGTTTAGCTACGGATTCCCACACCCTCAAACAATGCGTGGGCGCAAGGCCAACCCCAACTGGTCTCAAGGCACCAAACACCTTTCGAGGGGCCCTTTTGTGCTGGACTTGTACGGGGCTAACAGCTGACAGCCACGAAAGGGCTGCTACAGGCACAGGAGTCGCACACGCAGGCGTTCAAGCCCATCGGCTTCGCATTTCCGAAAAGTTACGAAGATGGGTGTGTTTTTCCTTGAGGGTACCCTGTTCAGGTTGGTTGAAAGGTAACCGAACACGGCTGGTTTCCTTTGAGCCTCATTTTTTGCAACCCTTGTAGTTCAGAAACAACCGGGCTCCATGAAGATATGTTGCTTTATTTCAAAGCCAGGATTTGTGCTTCTTGGTGATGGGCACCTTCAAAATTGCAACCAAACCAACCAGGTTGGCTAGATTTGACACAGAATCTGTTCACATGTTTGGTGCGGGGAGGGGGGGTGGAGAGGAGGGGTAGGGGGCAGGAAGAATGTCAGTCACTTTCAGTTGCCCAAATGAACAATTGCTGATTTCCTTCACTTTAAAGGGAATCGATTTGAATGGAAATATGTTCTCATGTTTCCAGGGATTGGGAGTGGGCCCAGGGCAACCCAAGGCGAGCTGACACCAAGTATAAGGAGCTCTACGTGCTTCCCCAGCAGAAGGCGAGCGATGCTTATGCGCTTGGGCCGAAACCTGAGGGCCCTTGCGCTGGGTCCCTTGCGTCTTCCCTGCCGACTTTTGATGTGGGAAACCACCCAACTCCCCCAACTTCCAAAATCCAAGCAGCAAGCGAAGCAATGTCAAATCAGTGGCTTTTATGGGGTGTGCTTTGGGCAGCCGCCAGTTTGGCCCAGTTCCATTTGCAGCTGCCTCACAAAAACTAGAACACGGGTGGCCAAAAGCATTTTCCATGACACGCAGCCTGAATCAGTCCATTTTTCCAGCTATGCATTTCACTGCCTACTCTGTGCATACCTCTATGCATTTCACTGTCTACTTTCCCTGTACACACTTCACTCTGCACTTGCCCTACGCACGCCCCTATGCATTTCCTTCCCTGCACATGCCTCTATGCATTTCAGTGTCTACTTTCCCTGCGCATGCCCCTATGCACTTCGCTCTGAACTTGCCCTGCGCATGCCTCTATGCATTTCATTGTCTACTCTGTGCATGCCTCTATGCAGTTCACTGTCAATTTTCCCTGCGCATGCATCTACGCACTTCACGCTGTACTTGCCCTATGCATGCCTCTATGCATTTCACTCTGTACTTGCCCTACTGTGCACTTTCTCTACGCATGCCTCTACGCATTTCACTGTCTACCTTCCGACTTTGCAGCCGGAGCTGCGGGGACGTACTTTGCGTACTACTTTTGTACTTAAAAGTTACGACTTTGCAGCCGGAGCTGCAGGCACGTACTTTGCGTACTACTTTTGTACTTAAAAGTTGCGACTTTGCAGCCGGAGCTGCGGAGACGTTCGCGTACTACTTTTGTACTTAAAAAGCTGCGACTTTGCAGCCTGATCCCTGCAGACGGTATGCGAAGATTCACGCGGGACCACAGCGAGACCGATCTGGCACGCACAATCTCCGCACAAGGTCGCGCGCGAACCGCAAAGATTCGCACGGGACCATAGCAACAGCGATCTGACACCCACAATCCCCGCAGACGGTCGTGCGCGCACGGTCGCTAAAAACTCCAGTTTTTTCACCTCGACCACGCCGATCCCCGCAGAGGGCCGCGCGCGTCCCGCAAGAATCGCAAAAAAGCAGCTTCTGCACATCGACCACTCCGATCCTGGCAGAGGGTCGCACGGGCAAGTTGGAAATCGCACAAACCCCGCAGTTTATGCACATCGACCACGCCGATCCCTGAGACGCTCTCATTTTCGCAGAGTGCGCTTGGTCCCACCGCGCCGCCTTACGATACTAATTGTTAAACAATAGGGGGTCTGCCGTTTTCGCTGTACCCGAAAAAGAAAGCTTAAACAATCACGTAAATACATCAAGCCTGGCCCTTCATAGAAAGAGTCCGTATACAATATGGTAAATATCGAGGTAAAAAAATGTAATTCATTTTGGCTTGCCTGATCTTGAGTGACCATGCGTGAGCTGGACTTAGTGTCCCTCGTGGACGGGGATGTGTATTGACGATAACCACGCATTATGAGTCATGAATCATTAGAAGAGCCGCGACATTTTTGACATGAATGTTCATGCGTACTGGTGGCTGCTAGCCACATGTTTTTGTGCTCGTGAGCATGTGTGTGGCAAGGCCAAAAAGGCCCTCCGGACGCAAAAGCACGTGCGCCCATGCTTGCGCTTGGGTTGCATTGCCATGCTAACACCCGGCAGCCAGAACCCCCACCAAGATACATGTGACGCCTCATGTGTGTTTAGCGGTCATGAGAGAGGACATGCTGTAGGAATCGAGGACTAGGAACACTGCGTCTTGTCATAGAACGTTTGGTATGTCCGGACATGGGTTATGTCGGCTGCGTGAACAACATTAAGAATATTTGAGGGCAATACTCTGACACTTTCCAACAATCAAGGTCAGCTCTGAGCCGTTCAGGAGGGATTGGAAGCAGCATACCCTGAACCGTTTCTGAACCGTTCAGGAGGGATTGCAGCATCATACCCTGAACCGTTCTGAAACGGTTCGGAGACATTGGAGCTGCGTACCTAGAAACCATTCTGAACCATTCCGAAAATTGCAACTGCATGCTCAGGAATTGCTCTTTGCTTCTCCTCACGCATGCTTAGGCTTACCAACCACGTGTTTAAGATGTTTGGCCTCCTAACATGTATATGGTAGCTGCTAAGGATTTAACACGCGAGCCTAGCCTTAAAAAAAAAAAATCAATCAACACCTTGGGCGCTTGTTGTGGAGATGGGAGGGGCGCGTTGCCCGGCCTTCTTCTTGCCAATGTTTTGCCATTGGCTTGTCTGATTACGCGCCTTTCATGCCTGTTGAGGCCTGTCACATGGCAAGCAAATGATGCGGCTTCCAGCTTCCAACACTGAGGCACACATTGTTTACATGATCTTTTACGTGTTTCTTTACGGCCCCTTTTTGTTTACATGAACATTCACATGAACAGTGACGTGGTTTGTTACATGACTATTGGCGGTTTTAACATCCACAGAAATAGAGGCTAAGTTTTGGTCTAAACTAGTTGTAAGAAAGCGTGCGAGTTTCCTCGTGCAAGTTATGCTCGTGCGAGAAGGAATGCAAGATTGCTACGCATTTCATTGTGTATTTCCCTGCGCACGCCTCTATGCGTACTTTCCCTATGCATGCCTCTATGCATTTCAATGCCTACTTTCCCTGCGCATGCTTCTATGCATTTCACTGTCTACTTTCCCTGTGCATGCATCTATGCATGTCACTGTCCACTTTCCCTGTGCATGCCTCTATGCATGTCACTATCTACTTTCCCTGCGCATGCATCCATGCATTTCACCCTGTACTTGCCCTACGCATGCCTCTAGGCATTTCACTGTCTACTTTCCCTGCGCATGCCTCTATGCATCAGACTGTCTACTTTCCCTGTGCATGCCTCAATGCATCAGACTGTCTACTTTCCCTGCGCATGCCTATATGCATTTCACTGTCTACTTTCCCTGTGCATGCATCTATGCATTTCACTGTCTACTTTCGCTGTGCATGCGTCTATGCATTGCACTCTGTACTTGCCCTATGCATTTTACTGTCTGCTTTCCCTATGCAGTTGGGCTGTGCACAACGACTTTACGGGCAGAACCCTTCGCAATACTTTCGGGAATACGAGACCGGGAAAATCAAAAAACTACTTCCAAACCCCCAAATCTATGGTCAACTTACCGCAATTTTTTTACCCCCAAGGGGAACTTGCAGAATTTCCTGGTATGTCAACATCAAAAACCCCAAATCAAAGGAAACTGTTTGTAGATTTTCCGGGTTCAGCAAGAAACAAAAAGAAAAGCCCCCCACTCCTCCACTCCAACTCCAACCCCACCCCGCTCCAAGGACCTTGCTGCCCCCATGGACATCGCTGAGCGCTTGGATGCCGCGGAGCTCCGTGCCGGCGGCTTCCGCTGCTACAGGCGCAGCGACTTCCGCCGTGAAACCCAAAAGAAAACGCGCGCCGTGGTCTTCCATTTGCTGAAATGAATGTGTTTTGCCCTGTTGGTTTTTAAAGGGAATCTGTCATTATTGGATTTTTTCATTTTTCCAGGGGCTTAAGCAAATGGAAGTGGTCGTTTCTTGTTTTGCGTGCGTCTTCTATTCGCTAAGAATATGTTAGATAGGTCCCCCGGTTTCTTGGATTTGCGCAGTTGCTGAAGAATATGTGTTATTGCCCTCTGGATTTTCAGGGAATCGATTTCACGACTGGAAGTATGTTCTCATTTTGCTCAGGGGACGAAAACCGCATATGGAGGTAGTCGTTTCAACCACCAAAGCCAAAACCACGGCCTGGGCCCGCGAAAAAAAGTCGCCGTAAGTCATACGGGCGCCGGGCGGACCCGGACCCCCCACCCCAAAGTGGATTTCGGTGTTCCCTTTGGTTTCCGTTTACAAACACACAAAAAATGCATCCTCAAAAAAAGCACGGACCCATTCTGTGGATGGACAGAATTCATGTTGCGGTGGTTGGGTTTGTAATTCAACCCGATCTCTGATGGTACAAGCCACCTCAACATTTGAGTTGTAGGGCTCAAAGTCGGCTGTGAGCTAAGCGGCGCTTCTGGATCTCGTGAGTTGAAACGGATGCCCCAGATTGGAAGGGGCCGCGGGATGCCTGGATTTCCGTACGGGCGTCCCCAAAATTTGACCAAAGTCACCCCCCAATAGAATAAAGGGACCCCAGGTAAGAAGAGGTATTTGAACTTGAAGACTTAGGGACCCCAAGTTCGAGGTTCGGAACCGAACAAACTTGACCCATGTAAAGCAACCAACATGAAACCACACA